ACCTGATTCCTGAAATGAGACTGTGAACATTATTTGAGATGCACACTAAAACTGTTTCCAGTTGAATGAAATGGCCAAAACTATGTGATGAACAATAAGTGTAATAGGTAGAGTTCTTTATATTAAGATAATCATTATACAATAATATATTAAGATAATCTTTATATTAAGATTACATAGCTATATTAAGTACATTGGGAGGGGAGTTAAAAGTGTTATTTTATATTGTTTCAGGGGTGTAATTGGTAGCCATGTTGGTCTGAGACAAAAAGATATTAAAAAAACTATAACTCTTTGTTCCAAAATGATACCTTTTATTAGACCAACTGGAAAATGGCAAGAAAAATGTCCTTTTCTGCAAGGTTTCAGAATCAAAGTCCCTTCGTCAGGTTCTGGGAAAAGTGTAGATGGTGCAAGATGGTAAAAAGTCCCCATAGGTAGGAAATAAACTTAATTTTTGTGCAGAGGGAGCTGAAGATGGAAGACTGTCCCTCTGGGTCAATGAGAGTGTCATATATTTTATATTCTTAACATTTAACATTCATCCGAAGGGCAAAGGAAAGGCACTTGACCTGTAAAGGATAATGAAGCTCTTTAGCTGGTAGTATCTTTATCACATGCGTATATTTTGCATTCCTTACCAGTAATTTATGCAGGCTGACAAGACTAAATGTTATATTTAGTACTACAGTGGTTTATTTTTGAAAAAAAATAGGGCTATAAGGTTCCTTTATGAACTTTTGGTATATACATTTGCAACTCTTCCTGTTTTTAGTGCTCCTTTCACATGTATATGTAGTACTTATTAACATAAGTCAGCTATCTTCCATCAGATGAAGAATGTCCATTAGTTGTTGAGGTTTCTGGCTCACATTAGCATGTTACCTTGAGATTTAATCTTCTTGGATTTCAGAAAATCAGCACTACTGTGCTTGGTTAGGAGATGCTAATATAGCACTGCTGTTAGCATACAGATATGCAAGACATGATCCCAGTGTCTAGTTGCTCCAAACTTAAATTTGACTTCACACAACAGGAGGTGATAACAGGCATTCGAGGTCTTGGATAAGGGAAGAGCGAGAATTAGAATAAATTAACAATTATTATACATAAATTGATATTCATATTTTATTAATGTTGTACAGGGTATATTTTTTTAAATGTTAGTACTCCATGCTATACTCTCTAAATAAAAAAGGGAGAGGCAGAAAGCCAGAGTACCAAATGGAGAGGAGCTGTTCTAAGTAGCTTCTGTGACTCCTTGCTGTGTATGGGGCGGGGCAGAGGAGGAGGAGGAGGAGGTGAACTGGTTTTTGATGATAAGGAATAAACTGCCTGTACACTGTTATCCCTGTGGGGCACTTGCAGCATCTTGGTAGTGACAATTCAGTAGATGGCACTCTTCCTCTCTAAGTTGACATTCAACCAGTTTTTACTGATCAATTGAAAATGCCATTTTTGTCAGACATAAAACAATTGATTAACGTTCTTGTAGTTAATTTTTTTTGCAAAACCCGCAATGTTAATTCTGGTGCGCTGACGAGTTTCCAAACTGGGTAACTGCATTTTGCATACTTGAATTTGATTCCAGATGGATGGAGTCATTTTCTTTGCTGCTTGTCCAGCATTGTTTTTCCAGTGTTTCTGCTTTTTACCCTGGACAAAGGAGTGTTTCTGTGATCAGTTAAAGATTATACAACTATCTGGCTATAAATAGTTTTCATAATAGCAACCCGAAAAAAGATTTTTAAAAATGTATCCTGTTTAGGCTTAATATCAATGTGCTTCTAATGCATCTGCAGTTTTTCTCTTTGTTTATAATTTGACACTTTTTCATATAGTCAGCTGAACAAATTGGAAAACATCTCAGTGAGAGAATGTGCAGTGAGCCACGCAGGTCAGAAGGAGGAAATTAGCAGAACGTGTCCTAGTATCCTTTTCTAAAGGTGCTGTATTATGTACCACCACTTACTAAAATAATACATGTTTTTAGCATTCCATACTTACTTTGTAGAAATTAAGCAATTATATTTTATCAAGCGGTTATTTTCAGATCAGTTTAATTACTTTGCATTGTATATAGGGGTATAATTCAATCTTCATTCTTTTTACTGTTTAAAATCCTAGAATGTATTTGGAATTAGGGTTCCTGGGTAAAAAGAGGGGGTGGGGAACTATGCTAATTTAGTTAACTATTGTCATTGATTCAAGACTTCAGAAGGTGCAGTTGTGGTAAAAATGATGGGAATTTTAAAAAAATAATTTGGTATAGGACAAAGCCATATAACTTCTAATGTAATTGCTGGAGAAGAGCTTTGTAGGCACAAGAAGCTGTGAGGGTGTAATGAATAAGATATTCAAGCTCCTATGTATTGTAGTTTATGTGTTACTAAAATACATAGTAGAAATTATACTGTTTTAGGACGTCAAAATTATATACTCAGTAATTGGGAAATAAATTATTTTGGGGCTCTGTAAATTGAAGTTATTTTTTAAGTTTTGATGACCCATTTCTTTACTATAGATCAAGATATAGTTTAGAGTAACTGATCAATATTGCTACTTATCCCAAAGATTTATTCTACTATATTTTGGTACAAAAGTAAGTTATATCTAAAGATATAGCTTGCTTTATCTTTATCTAAAGATATAGCTCCAGTCTCTGATATTTCTGATATATTTTCTTAATGTAAATTCTCAGATATCAAGAGTATAGACTTATCAAAAAATCTGTTGTCATCGTGGGAAACAGTGATAGATATCGCTAGTGAGGTACAGAATCTGGAAATACTGCATCTCAGGTATAATGATACATATTTTTTATTTCCGCTGCTTTTGTTAGAGATATATGGCTTGATACTTAAATGAAAGCTTGATTTAAGGATCTAAATTTCCTTTTAAAAATAATAGGAGTTAAATGCCTGGCTACTTCTTATAAACTGGCTCTTATTCTTTTTCTGTTCTTGCCATATCTTCCAGAAGTATTGCATACTGAGGAAGGACTAGATCCCAAAGGAAGTTTTGGGCATTGTTTTGCCAAAACCAGAAATATGGGGGTAGCCCTAAATTCCAGTTTGTTTCAAAGCTTAAAGAAAATACTGTACAACTTAACAAATCATGATTCTATTTGAAGAGTGATTATTATTTCACAAGGCTGCTACAGTTGAAAAGTACAAATATGCCTTTATTGTTTTAGTCTACTTCACATATTTGACAGTACTTTGCACCTAGCTAGTTCCAGAATTTCCAAGCACATTGGAGGAAGCAGACTGTCTAAAAAGTTCTTGTAAATGTCAACAGGGAAGTTGAATCCTTGTAAAGAAAGTTTATAAATATAAAAAGTTTAAATAAAAAAGGAGGACATACTATTTAAAAAGGGTGTTGGGTTACGAACCAGAGTTTTAAAAATTCAAGTTGGCATAGTAAGATGTGCTCTGTAGGATTTTATAACAAAGAATGTTTTTTGCTGCTTCCAGGGTGACATCTTCATGGCTTGTTCAGGTACCGAGGGCTCACTTGGTTGTTGTGAACTTGAGCTAACTATTAATTATCTGGTGTTTTTCAAACCTGTTTTTGCTTGTGTTTTCATTCAGATAAGTTTTAAAGATTCTTCTCTTGTAGGAAAGCTTTAGACTAAGCTTGGTTTTCTGGGGTTTTTTTTTTTGCTTATGCTGAATGGTTTTTACCTTGGGATTTTTATCTCCCCAGGGTTTTTTTGTTTGTTTCTTTGTTGTTTTTTCATGTCTATCCCAAAATCAGCTTTTTCAGGCATCTGATTTTTATCTAAAGAAATACGTTTTATTAAGAATGTCTGTTTAGTACCAAACTGAAATATACTCTGGGGCCCAGCCCGCCTGCCCTGAAACAATGCTGGCTAGAATGTTGGACCACAGTGAGTAACAGGAAAAATCTCTCTGATAATATTTGTGTCAGTGAGTTCCTGCTTTACAAATAATGCCCCCCACTTTTTCACTCCCCCTGCCCCCAAGGGAAAAAGGTATCTTTAAATGGAGCAGTATTGCCAGGAGATAGGGAAGAAATTCACAGATTAGCATAGATGGTCCCAAATGTGTGGAGGGTTCCCCCACCCCAGTGGATTTAGAAGACGATATAAAGGGGGCAGATTCATCCAGGGTCATTCTACATTGTAGACTTGCAGTGCCCAACAGTGGCGCCCTCAAGCAAGCTGTGCTGCTTTGTGCCTCCTAAACTGGAAGTAGGATAGCTGTGTCCATTTGAGGTGGGGTATTTAACACTGGTGAATAATGGGGTGAAATAATCTGTCCCTAAACTAATTAATCTGCCCATGTCTCCCTATATTGACTGCTTCTGGAATTATCTGGTTGCCAGCTCGAAACTGTGTTGTGCCCTTTAGGGTGTCACTGTCAGGCATCATAACCTTTCATGTAGACATGGCCAGAGTGTGGTCCTGAGGTTTTCTCATAACTAGCTCTCTTTAGATGTAATTTTGCAAGGAGAAAGATGGGAGCCTAATCAGAAATATTATTTTTTCTGCCTAAGTAATCTATAAATGTTCTTTGCAGATTTGAGGCTTGGAAAACATGGTTTATGAGGACAGGCTGAAAGAACTAGGATTACTTAGTCTGGAGAAGAAGATTGAGG